CAATTCTGCACTCTTTTCCTGTTGAACACTGCTTCTGATGCTTTTATCACAGAGTTTTATATTTGAGTTTGATAGAGACTGAAAGCAAACAGTTTCTAGGACTTGAACCATGCCAAGAGAAAAGACTGGCAAAGCGACAAGCATGCTCATTTAATTAAGATACCCCCACTGCTATTTTTATGACTTTTTACATACTTGCTGGGAGTTGGCAGGCTGACACAGAAGGCCAGCGTTAGCTCATTTCATCCTCCCAAAATATTCCATCACTCTAGGTACAGAACAAACTTGTGTACTGACTCAAATTAAATTACTGCAGGAACACCAACTTAATGCACGAGCCCAGGCAATAGAAAAATCAAAGCTGAACAGAACAGTGTCTCACAAGTAGCAAGTCACAAAAACAACTGGCCTACACAAATTCTTTCCAATTTCATGAGGACCCTGATTTTAATCCCCAAAACCTCTTCTCCAATATCCACATCTACAAAAGAAACAAAGTAAATCAGTGCATCCTACTAAGGGAACCAGACAAATTACCTAGTGGGTATCTCACCTAGATATAACCCAATACAGGGAAAGAGAACAAATTAGTGAGATGCTGTAACTCTCCCATAAACAAAATAGGGATAGACTTCATTCCTTTACTCACACCATCAACACATGGTTTTTAGATGAACTTTATTAAAAAATCATGAAGGAAAAATAATTTTGCAAGTGACAAAAAGATGAGGGATTATATTATTTCAGGAGAAAAGGTAACCTGAGCCTGTGTAAATATTCTTGCACTCTAACTTACCCAATTTCTATCAGAATTTTTCTAAATTAAAATTATCCTTAGACTGCAGAGCTCAGTCTTACCAGTTTATTAAGAAATAGATCCTCTCCAGTTTCCTTTCTCACTCTGACACCTTAATTTCAAAGAATGTCCCATTACTCTTATAGCATGAACCAACAAAACAAGTTTCAAACAATTCATCTTCTGTGTACTTGTGTTATACTTATCTATATTCACTGCCTTTCAAAGGCTAAAAAATCTCTTTGTTTTCCAATTTCTCTTTATAAAAGCAAATTTCCATCCCCACAGATTCCTTTTTTAGACTCTTCCCTGATTCCCTTCTTCTCTACATCCTTTTTAGAGGCACCCAGCACCACATCCATTTTGATGGCATGCTGTATGAGAGTAACATACTGATTTTTACCACAGCATTTTATACACCATCACACTTTGTTTAGTTTGATTGCAAGTATGAACACAGTATCAGAAGTAAAGAGAAGAAACAAGATTTTTAACACACAGTCCTCTACTTTGAGTATGTGGCATTACTACCATGCCAAGACATCATTTGGGGCCAGGCAGTCTTTGCTTTTTTGTCCTTCAGCATAATTTCTTCTTTGTATCTCACCCATTACAGACTGCAAATTTTTGTCATTTGCCTATCAGGGTACCCTTCCAGAAAGAAAATCACTGGTTTACAAGAGAACACAAACACACACTAAGCAAAGGTAACTGCCCAGGACTGTTTGCTTTTAGGTCTTCAGTGAGGACCCAAGCATGCTTCAGCACCAAAAACAAGACAGTAAAAAATACAGCACACCTGCCCTTTGAAAAATAAAGACTGTAATAAAAGATAACTCATACTGTATGAAAGACAAGAATATTCTGCATCCCACTTATTGTACTTGAACTATGGAAAATATATAACATCTCTGAATTAATTTACTAAATTCCAAAAAATATAACAGATACTGCATTGGCCCTTACAAAGTACAATCCAGCCAAACTACAAAAAAGTTTCCAAAAACACACTGCATTACATTTATAATTTGAAGATTTGAAATTACAACAGTCTATCACGATTTTTCTCTGGAAGCTAAAAAAAACCAAGAGAATCTATATGACTTTTTTTTTTTTCAATCATGAACAATATTGTAAAGTTTGGTTAATATTGCCATTTAGGGAAAAACATAATAGAGCGATTGACCTGACTCTGTTCTTAAACACTCTGCTAAAAGAACAAACTATTTGTGAAAATAACAAAAACCAGCTGAAGGCATTTGGGTGGTCTCCATTTGAGTCCTGTAATATAGAACAGGTCCTTTTTTCTAAATCCAATACTGATTTGTTTTCCTGCTTCAGTAAAGCCTCAAAATCTGTTGATGACAAAAGCTACACAACCTACTGAACATCCGTATTATTTTACTGGCAGGCTGCTAACTTCCAAGTGCTCGATTCATCACACACTGAGTAGCACACTGATATACACAACAGAACTATGCCGATTTCTATAGACTGATCCTTTCTAATTCCTTAACAGTATTTTGAGGGGTAGTATAGTAGTATCTTTATGACACTGCACATAATTAGCAGAGACCAGCGTTGGGTAGTTCAGCTTTACTGCCCTGCTTCCTAAAAGCATGGTCTATCTTAGTTCTTCACCAGCAGTTCTGTTTTCATTGAGCTGAAGAAGAGCAAACACTGTCAGAACTTCATGTCTTGGTGTATGTAGCACTCTTTGAAAAGACAGCCTGACATAAGTCTGAGATTACACACCCTCACAATCAGCAGACTGTAGTCTCCCTTAGGGAGGCCAACCAGTCATGGCCAAAACAAATCCACCAAAATTACATTCTATGTCATTTAGCTGAAGACTGAAGTGTGCTCAAAACTATAAAAATCAGTAACATTTTTTGTAAAATCCCTATTTTCTACAATTCATCCCAAATAGCCACAAACATACATATAAGAGAAGTAGCAAAGAAGCACAGGTATAATGCAATGACAGGCAATGACATCAGTCTAAGCTGTAATTTGTCACCATACACCATTTCATAGTTTTGGTCCAAGAGAAAGATCCTTTGAAGAAGAGACACAGTCCTTTGCAATTGTCCTTAACAGCTGAATAATGCACCAAAAATTAAGACAATGCACCTTTGAGGGGTTTTTTGATTTGGTTTCTGCTTTGGGGTCATGTAAAACCATTAAGTAATTCCTACAGATATTTCAGCATTCAGCTACTGGTAACAAAGGGCTTCATGAAAAAGACTGAGTATGGGAACACAGCTCTGACTGCTCTGCCACCCACACTTGAACAAAAAAATATTCCCTGGAACTGTAACTTACAACCAAGCTAATAACCCAAACCAGTTTCAGTGATAGATCTTAGTAAGTCTCCCAGGAGTTGTTTCTTTCCCCACAACTCCTTTACCTATCAAACAAATTTTCCAAGCTGCTTTTCCATCTCTTTAGCACCTGCTCCTCCTGGCAAATAACCAAGTGAGCCACAGGAATACTCCTGTCTCCCCAGTGACTCTTCAGCAGGGCTGAGACAGCCCAGCTCTGAAGCTCGCCACATGACCTCTTCTTGGCATTAACCATGACACTTTTTCTAAACCACAATCCTGGGTTTAGACTTTCTGAAAAACAATAAACTGCTAAGCCACAGAATGAAACATGATGCATACACAGAAATTAACATCCTATAGCAGCCTCTAAAAGTAAAAATCACACTTCAAAAAAAAAGCATGTTTATGATTCAATACTCCATAATTTTACTCTTTATATGATTCCATGAAAAAAAATCTCATTATTCTAAAAAAAAAAAAAAAGTTTAACCATAAATGACCACAATGCATTACAATTCTGAAAGATGGACTGAGCTATTGATTACATTCTTTCCTTTCCATCTGTGCAACAATTCAAGGTAAACTAACAGCTAAGCACTAAACTTCTTCTGGTATGAGGACATCAGCCAGCCTCCCTTCAAGCAAGGCTTTCAGTACTGTACAGCCTTCAAAAAGATGCAAAGGGGAAAAGAACAGCTCACAGTTTAGGTAAGGAAAACATTCTTTCCTAAAATGGTAAAAGACTGAAGTAATAAAGCGAAGACAATCTTTCCTTAAGTGATGCCCTTTCACATCCTTGTTCAATACAAGTACAGTTCTACCACAGTGAGGTTTATGGTATTTTGATATGATCCTGATATTAACTGGAAGAGTTATCAGATTACAGCACATTGCTACACAAACCATGCTAACTTTCATACAACATTCAATTACACCATAAATACTAATGAAATCAGTCCTTTAAAAAAAGTAATGCTTGAATACTACTGACACTAAGTTTCATCAGCCAATTAGGGACAAACCAATACCAGCAAATACAGTACTATAATATAATAAGTCAAAGACACAATTAGCAAATATCACACTTGGTGATATTTAAATAGGATGGTTTTGACCCAGTTGTTCTGTGATTTCATGAGGTGACAAGACCAACAGTCACAGAGCAAATACAATAGAAACACAACAGCATTCTCAAAATGCCATTTTAAGCTGGCAGTAACAACCTCTTTATTACATCAGCACAAGAAAGAATGAAATTTAAAAAACAATCCACAACTTTTTATTTTTGAAATTAGAAAATCAAACTATTTTTTAGATTAAAATAAAGATCTCAGTCACATAATTTAATGGTGGTTACATTGTAAAGAAGTCTGTAACTCATTTAACTTTGACAGCAACATGCGAATACACTCCATGAGAAAGGGCTCAGTTATTACTCAAGCAGCACTGTTTCTCTTATTTGCCAATGTTAGTCTTGTAAAAATATATGGTCATGTTTTAAATTTGTTTTTAAAAAATCTTTTTAAGTAAAGCATGTCCTGGATCTCTGTAAGTGAATTAAAATGTCAACACGAAGTATGAAGTCTTAGCAAATAAGGCACATGTCTTGTCTTGACTGCAAATAAGGATGAGCATCAAAACACACTTTACTGCTGCTGAACCACTAATATCTTTTATGGAAATTATGAAAACAATTAGTTTCAATGGAGTACAAGCCCAATGGAGTCGACCCTCAATGACCTTAAAGAATTTTAAATGGGCAAATAAACAGCAACTCAAACACAAAGGTAAAACATGTCTTTGTACTTAGATGGACACAGAATCAAAATCTAAAATACTCTGCAAAGATATTAACTGCAATCTTTCAACATACCCACCTTATTCGTCCTGCTGCTGCTATGACCAATGAAACATTTCATCCATCTTAATTCCTATTTCAAGGAAACAAAAAACAAACAAAACCAGAAAGTTCCAATATCTCAGGAAATACATTTAGCAAAGGACAAATCATATTTAATAGAAAAGACAAACATTTTAGGAAGTAGTGAATACACAAGAATTCTAATAAAACATGTTTACACACAATACAACAGCATCTCCTCTGAGGTATACCATACATTAACAGGACTTTAGAGATTACAATAATAAATATCTGAATAAATATTGCTAAAATAACTGATGAAAGCTCATACATTTCTGATTTTTCCATGCACTTTTAAAACTCTGAAGTTTCTTTAATTGCAACTCCAGCAATACTTCCAGTCAGCTTCCAATCCAAGTTCTACATTCAACACTTGGCTATTTCACTTTGACCTGACACCATCTACCTCCTTAGGTGCAAATAAATACATAAAACCATCACCAGTTTCATACAGACATTTAAAACAATAAACCACTTCTATAAATGTTTTACCTGTGCACATAAAAATGCTTCAAACAGTCCAAGTCACTGATGAAGAACACTCCTCCCACCTAGCACAACATAATCCTTGAACCTGTACATCAAAAACATATGTGTGACAATCATTACAAATTTCTAAGGCTTCAGTGAGAAAGTCAGAAATATCTCATATATGCTCTCCCTGTCATTGCTAGTTCTGATATTCTCACTCACAAATGAGATGCAGGAAACATAAGAAACCAGTATTTTCTCCATTAAATGCTTTTAGAAACACTTCAATTACAACTTCAGCTACACCACAATCTAGTTCTTTAACAGCCTGCCCAAAAGCTAAAAGCATTTGCATAGTGCTGGGTTTCTTCTCATTCTCCAGTTATCATTACCTAAGAATATCTTTATAATTAAATACTAAGAACATTAGTTCATTAGGAAAAATATTTTAAATATATGACTTGTCATACACTTTATTTCTCCCTTTTCCTTTCTGTCTTTTGACAGACTCTAAATTGGAAAAAATCCAATTCTTCTAGCTACTGAAGCAGAAGAAAAACATGCACTCATCCCTGATGTATTTTGCTTTACATAAAATTAACTTTGAAAAATATTAACTTAACTATCACTAAAAAAAATAGCTACAATCAAGTCATTGAAAAAAACAAACAAAAGAACAACAGCTCAGTATTTTGATGGCTAAATAGTTCTGTGAGGAAAAAAACTGCACATAAACTACTGTGATCCAAGGGAACTGTGCATTTACCCTGTATTATCCTCCTCTTTCCTTTTTATTAAGGAATAATAACATGAAAGACCACTTTTAATGGCATATTACAGGTCCAAATAAATTATTACAAGAAAATTCAAGACTATAATTAGCTTAACCATACAGCATTTAAGGGCTAGGCTGTTGACTGAGACTTTAACACACATTAAAAAGCTTCAACAACAGTTATGTTGGAGAAGAAAGGAAGTGAGCACAAGACATACCACATCAATTTTAATTTAGGTACAGAACTACATAAATCTTTTAACAGAGCATGACTTTTGGGCAAAATAAATTGAAACAAGTCAATCTTTCATGTTGTTTCATATGTGCCACGTTGTAGACATTTGCAGTCTTTTGAAAACTCTTTTATGTGGTTTTAAAATGCCTCCCTCCTTATATTATCTGTGCCAGACACATCTGATCGCTTGGAACCTGGGATGTGCTCCTGATGTCATTATTAAAAGTTCCAATGGATTCATAAGGCGACAGGCCTCAGTGAGTTACACACAAACACTACACCCACTTAGCGCATCCATTCCTGCGGCCACAGGACAAAGCGCCTCTGGCCGTCAGTTCCTTCCAAACCGTAAGGAGAGGACTGCGCATCGCATTTGTACTTTTATGGAAGCAGCAGCAGCAGCAGCAAGGTTATTATGAAACATCGCCGAGGCCTCGGAGTCCAGCGCTGGGCGCACAGCTGTGACTCACGCTGGCAGGGAGCGCGCAGGAGCCAAACGCGGCCACAGAACCGGAGGCACCCGCTGCCACCCCTCACACAGGTCACGCTGCACGGCCACCACAGGAAAAAGCGTGAGCTGTACAAGCAAACATCGTGACTTGTAGGAACCGGCCACACGCGGCCTTTCTGCAGGTCTTTATTGTAACATCAGAACCGGCAATGGCAGTCACGCCCTCCCGCAGTCTCCGCACTGGCGGGGACTTCTACTGACACCCCGGGCCGGGCTGTGGCACCCCCGGCCGGGGCTCGGGTGGCCGCGCTGGCTCCGGGCTCACACGGCGCCCCGGCCGAGCACCGCAGGCCCCGCACCGCCGCTCCCGGGAGCCGGGCG